AGCTCCAACTCCAGCACCCCCAGAACCAGAAACCGGTACAGGAACAGGCGCCGCACCAACCTCTCGAGAGCTAGCACCAGCGGCACGCTGCGAGGAGGACTGTGGGGAGGGAGGCTGTACCGGAGGGGCTACCAAAGGAGGAGGGGTAGCCTGGGACACACCTGACGGGGCTGGACCAGGGGGCGGAGGCTGTACCGGGGGAGCAGGAGGGGGAACGGCAGTCAGGAAGAGGGGGGGAGGAGGAACCGGGAGACCTCGACTGGGGTACCTGACGTAGTACGGAGTGGACTCCTCGAAACGGACGTCACGGGAGTCAAAGAACCGGTGAGAGGGAGGGTGGTAAAAGGTGAAGTCAGAGGAGTCCTCAGGGAAACCAAGGAAGACACAGGGGACGGCACGAGGCGAGAGCTTGTCCGCGGAGGTGTCGCGGACAAGAGCCAAGCACCCCCAGACACGAAACCGCGACGCAACACCAGGGGACCCTGTCCAAAGACTGGTTGGTGAAACCTCTGGTCGAGAGACACGTGGCCAGAGGTTCAGCTGGTGCGCGGCGTACCTGACCGCGTAGGGCCACAGAAAATGGGGGGCACAGGCGTGAGTCAGGGAGGTGCGGGCGATCTCCATGACCAGGCCTATGCGGCGCTCAGCAACCCCATTCTGCTGTGGGGACTCTGGAAGCGTCCAGGACTGACGAATGCCCTGCTCGCGACAGAATCCAGCGAGAATGCCGGAGCGAAACTCACCCCCACGGTCGGAGTGGAGACAGCTGACACGACGACCACGAGTGTCCTCGGTGGTGAGCAACCACCTGATCAGCGTAGAAGTCACCTCAGACTTCTTCGCCAGAGGGAACACTGTGGTGTAGCGGGAGGAGTCGTCAACGACCACCAGAAAGTAACGCTCACGCTCAGGGCCTAGACGAGGGGCGGGGCCCCAGACGTCCAAGTGAAGCGTCTCAAAAGGCTCGGTGGCCGGACGAAGGGAGGAGGAGTGAGGGGTGGCGCGCAGCCTACCCTCGACGCAGGGACGACACGGCGGCGCAAGCGAAGGCGGCAGCGACGGCAAGACACGTGGGAGGCCTAGGACAAGACGCTGACTAGACATAGCGCGCAGACGAGGAAGGGACGGGTGCCCCATCCGGTGGTGCCACAGAACGGTGGGGTGGGCAAGCGACCGGCAGGAGCACGACGCAGCGACTGGAACAGACGTAGGAACCTGACACGACACAGACACCTGGGGGGACGAAGCAACCTGGTGAGACGCGGGGACCCGAACGGGGGGGGGAACCGGGGGGGGGGAACCAGGGGCAGTGGCAGTAGGTGGGGCTGCTGGTGCGGCCGCTGGTGCTGCTGCTGCTGCTGCTGCTGCGGCTGCGGCTGCTGCTGCTGCTGCGGCTGCTGCTGCGGCGCACGCGGGCCAGTGTGAAGAGTGTAGAGACCCGAGCCCGGCTCAGCAGTAAAGGTAGCAAGAGGCTGGTAAGAGTCTTCGTCAACACACACCGCAGTCTCTCCAGAAGGCTCAAACCACACACCCACGTGCTGACTCACGAGGGGTCGCACGCCCACCAAGTTCTGGGAGAACGAGGGGACGTGAAACCCAGTGAGAGACCCGGAGGGAGCAGCAGGACACGGTAAAGTGGTAGTGTGACGTGCAGTGACTGGTCCCGTAGTGGGATCAGCCAACGCTACAGAAACAGGCGCAGGAAGTGGTGTAAGTGTCGTGCTGTCCCGAAAGAAGCAGTGGGAGGCTCCAGAGTCCAGTGTGAACGACGCGACGGGGGAAAGGGCGGGAGCGACACGACGGGGCAGGGCGACGCGACAGGACAGGGCGACGCGACGGGGCAGGGCGGCGCGACGGAGCAGGGCGACGGGACAGGGCAGGGCGACGTGACGGGGTAGGGCGACGCGACGGGACAGGGCGACGGGACAGGGCAGGGCGACGCGACGGGACAGGGCGACGGGACAGGGCAGGGCGACGCGACGGGACAGGGCGACGGGACGGGGGGGGGTAATAGGCGGGCGCGACGCGACGGGGGGAACGGGCGCGACGCGACGGGGGGGAACGGGCGCGACGCGACGGGGGGAACGTGCGCGACGCGACGGGGGGAACGGGCGCGACGCGACGGGGGGAACGGGCGCGACGCGACGGGGGGAACGGGCGCGACGCGACGGGGGGGGACGGGCGTGACGCGACGGGGGAGATGGCGCGAGGCTCGGTACTAGGCGCGGTAACAACGAAACTGGTACGAACGAGAGGTAGGATCAGGCTCGTGAGGTACGAACGGAGAACGGAGGAACGGGATCCCACAGGATCCTAACCTAGCTGATACCATGTCAGGATGAGGAATGGGTGTTCCATTGATGTTGGTTGGGGTACATATAACAAACCCTAACTTCTGTACCCCCTAAGACAAACCTCACTACAGGCTACAACATTTGACATTAGGAATGGGTTTGGGGGTGTGAATTATGCAAAGAAAAACAAACAGGAGAAGGTGATAAACAAAGTGAGTCAAGGAGTCGGAAGAGGAGAGTGAGAGGCCGACGGAAACACGGACGCGAGGGGAGAGGGAGAGAACAAGGGGCCAAAGGTTACTGGTTGGGTGATGGGAGGGGCATTGGGGAGGGGAGGGCACGAGGGCGACGGTACGGGACGGGAGGTGCGAGCGCGAAGGCGACGGGACGGGACGGGAGAACACGAGGGCAACAGGAAGGGACGGGAGGTGCGAGCGAGAAGGCGATGAGAGACGAGAACGTGAGCACGAGGGAGATGGGAGGGGAGACCATGAGCGCGAAGGTGGTGCGAAGATGGGAGAACGTGAGCGGGATGGCGGGGGAAGGGGAGAACGTGAGCGCAATGGCGGGGGAAGAGGAGAACGTGAGCGCGATGGCGGGGGAAGGGGAGAACGTGAGCGCGATGGCGGGTGAAGGGGAGAACGTGAGCGCGATGGCGGGGGAAGGGGAAAACGTGAGCGCGATGGCGGGGGAAGGGGAGAACGTGAGCGCGATGGCGGGGGAAGGGGAGAACGTGAGCGCGATGGCGGGGGAAGGGGAGAACGTGAGCGCGATGGCGGGGGAAGGGGAGAACGTGAGCGCGATGGCGGGGGAAGGGGAGAACGTGAGCGCGATGGCGGGGGAAGGGGAGAACGTGAGCGCAATGGCGGGGGAAGGGGAGAACGTGAGCGCGATGGCGGGGGAAGGGGAGAACGTGAGCGTGATGGCGGGGGAAGGTGACAAGCACAAGCGCGGTGGCAGCTTGTGAAGGTTCTGCAAAGAGCGAGAGAGGTTAGGATTATTTGCTGCGTATGAAGACTTTGGGCCTGAGAGAGGGCGGCAAAATCGCTGAGAAAACCAAAAGGAGGGAAAAAACAGAGAGAAACAATGTGAGGGAAGAGGAGAGAGAGGGCGACAGAAACAATGAGGGCTACTGGACAAGAGCCCGGTTCGAGGGCGAGATGAGAGGGGAACACGAGGGCGACGGGATGGGAGTGGAGAGATGATAGGCAACGGGAGGGCGGCTCAGAGCGAGCGCAAAGGCGACGAAGTGGGTAATGGGAGGGGAGTGAAGAAGGGAGCCGCGAGGGCGTTTCAAGGCCAGCGGCAGGGCGATGGGCGAGGAGAGTCGACTGTGCGCAACAAGAGGGCATTGCGGGCTTAGGGCGACGACGATGATGTGGGTAATAGGAGGGGAGACGTGGGAGGCGACGAGAGTGCGCCTCGATTTCGAGGCGAGCGCATAGGCGACGAGGTGGGTGACGGGAGGGGAGAAAGGAAGGGCGACGAGAGGGCGTTTCAGGGTGAGCGAGAATGTAACGATGTGGGTGATGGGAGGGGAAACGGGGAGGGTACGCGAAGTGCGACGGGTAAAGGGGGGGCGAAGGTAATGGCGAGGGAAAGGCGACATGGGCTGACGGCGATGCGGAGGTTGACGATTGTGCTACTGGCGGGAAAAATAGCACTGCGCTACTAGGCTACGTAATACTAAATCACCTATTCATGCGAATAAACGCAGTCGTCGATAATTCCGTGCCTATGACACAAGCACATATGCTTTCCGCTATACTATGCGTGTGGAAAAAGACTACGGAGTAAGGGAGTAGAAATCAGGGAGTTATGAACCCAGGACCAGCTTGATATTGAAGTTGGCCTTGCGATGGAACACATCGCAAGGACGATGGAAACCATCGCCAGGGAACGGTCGTGCAAGTGCAGGTCGCAGAAATGTGAGCGGGAAAGTCCATTCTGGCGGGAGCGACAACATCCCATTTTGGCGAGAGCCAATCACATGAGCTCACTCTGCCCGCACGTTTTGTTTCAAGCAGTGTTTTGTCAGACTTGTTTCATTCTCTCTTCGCTTCAAAAAATATTTTCGCAACACCACTTTCAAGTTGGGACGGGGGTCACTATTTTGCATGCGGGCTTTAAACCGGCCTGGAATTTGGCCCTCAAACCTGTAAAGTTAGCAAATCTGCAAATAGTGGCTGTAAATGTGACGACACGAAGTCGACCAATCCGTCTACTTTCGCGAGAGAAATGTCGACCAGATGGTCGACGTAGAACCGGCCAAAAGCAGATTTCGCATATTTGCGGGGATTTTACACGCCCTAACACACAAAGAGCGTAAATCATTCCTCTCGTTGATCAAGGGGTAACAATTGAACCTAAACTTGCTCATTCCTGCCTGCATCTCCATAACTAGCCAGAACTACTTGAGTACGTACTCACACCGGCCTGAGAACAAACTAGGCAGAAAAAACTAACAGCTGATTAACTGAACATGCTTTGCTATGGCTTCTAGACCTAACGCGTGTGGCTGTGTGGCCGGAGCTGGCTGCCATGGGCTTGTAGTTAGTCCTTGGAGCTTGCATCCTGTTGAATAGAAGGGGTTGCATTGAATGTGGGGAGGAGAGGTTGATTCAAAACAATCCAGGGACCAGGAGCAACTCAAGGGACTGCAGCCATGATTCATCCCTTGCTAGCAGGGTACTCTATCAGAAGTAGTCAACACAGGGGGACCGCACGCACCTGTGCCCTCCTCTCCTCTTGCCTGCTTTCGCCATTGACACTGCTTCCATCAACCTCCTCCTCCCCTGCCTTGCCTTCTTCACCCTCCTTCCCTCCCTTCACCGTCTCCCCCTCTCCACCCCCCTGCCCATCCCTACCATCACCACCACCTCCACCAGCAGCATCAGCGCCATCAGGCACAGCAGCAGCGGCAGCAGAGTCCTCAGCAATGGCAGGGAGGGGCATGCCGGGGAGGCCAAGGATGGAGGGAAGTCCATCAGCAGCCACAGTGACAGGCCGCAGCTGAGCCACTGCTGGGGACACCGCCACGCCCGCTGCCACCGCTGCCGCCACCGCTGCTGCCGGGGAGGAGTGGCTCGGCTGGCCTGGCTTGGATTCCGTCAAGGCCTGGTGGGTGAGTAGGGGGGGGGCAGGAGGGAGAAAGGCTGAAATATAGTGTGGTGGCCACGGTGACGGGGCGCAGCTGAGCCACCTCTGGGGACACTGCCACGCCCGCTGCCACTGCTGCCGGGGAGGAGTGGCTCGGCTGGCCTGGCTTGGATTCCGTCAAGGCCTGGTGGGATGAGTGGGGGGAGGGGGCGGGCGAGGGAAGAGGGAGAGTGTGTGTGGTCGGATTAGCGTTGGAGAACTGGAGGGGACAGGCTGACAGTGCGATGGTTGATGCTGCGGTGCTATTGAGGCGCGTCAGAAGGTTTGATGTGTTGTGGCGCTCAGAATGGTGGCAGGGTGTGGCAGTGAGCTCAGGGAGGTGGTTATGCTGAAAGTCGTGCGTGCATGCCTGCCACCAGGCAGTACCATTCTCTGGAGCCTCTTTTCAAGGCGCATGAAAGCGCACTGACCTTGAGGATGTAGTACACGCATGCACTTTGACGGCACGGACCTCGGGGAAGAGGTAAATGTACTTGCAGTCTTGCTCGTTTGGCACTGAGGGGTATAGACTGGTAGATGCCTACATGTTCTGCGCCTCAAGAGTGCACTGAGGGGTATAGACTGGTAGATGCCTACATGTTCTGCGCCTCAAGAGTGCACTGAGGGGTATAGACTGGTAGATGCCTACATGTTCTGCGCCTCAAGAGTGCACTGAGGGGTATAGACTGGTAGATGCCTACATGTTCTGCGCCTCAAGAGTGCACTGAGGGGTATAGACTGGTAGATGCCTACATGTTCTGCGCCTCAAGAGTGCACTGAGGGGTATAGACTGGTAGATGCCTACATGTTCTGCGCCTCAAGAGTGCACGGACGGACCTCGGGGAAGAGGTAGATGTATTTGCAGTCCTGCTCGTAGGGCACGGAGCGGTACAGACTGGTAGGCGCCTACCTTTTGATGTGCACGGACGGACCTCGGGGAAGAGGTAGATGTATTTGCAGTCCTGATCGTAGGGCACGGGGCGGTATGCGATGCAGGCGTCACACAGCTCACAGTTGTACCGGAACTGCCGCTCCACCCCCTTCTCCCTGCCGCGGTTTTCACACCGCACCGCACACCCACGGCGTTGGTGGTGCCAAGTGGACAAGCGAGCAGAGCACCGAGAGAGAGAGGAGGTGCGGTGCCGAGGACCAGGTAAGGCAGTTGAGGCAGCGTGCCGGCGCAGGCAGCACATGAGTAACGGCATTGCCGGAGTGGCGTTGAGAAGGCAAGGCATTCCCGATGTCATGGTTGGGCGTTGATAAACCGTGCTCCACGTGATGTCCGCACACCAATGCCATGGTTGCTGCCCATCACAGTCCGCATGGCATGATGCATGCATGCACATTGACATGCAGGGCAAGGCATACACAAGCATGCATGCATGTATGCAATGCATGTATAAAAAGTCACTCGGTCGCACAGAGCACACGCAATCAAATGATGCAAGCGCATGTGCACACACACACACACACACACACACACACACACACACACACACACACACACACACACACACACACACACACATACACACACGCGCGTGCGCGCGCGCGCACGCGCACACACACACACACACACACACGCACAGTCCACAAGAAGCGGGAGCAGCAGAAGAGATGAAGAGGCGAGCCCTCTCAGCGTGTGCAAGAACAACAGGAACGAGAGCAGCCAAGAAGAAAACGCCAAGGTAAGAAGAACAAGGCCGATGCAGACGAGTATAAGCTGCGATACGGGTCTTTGAAATGAGTGCACGTGCCTCTCCACCCACCTCTTGAGCAGCTTCTGCCCGCCTTTAACGGACATCATGGTGACAAGGTCCGTTTTTAAGTCGACTCAAAAGCAAAGTCACCTAAGCGTTGCTCCGCCCACCTCTTGAGCAGCTTCTGGCCGCCCTTGACGGCCATCATGGTGACCAGGTCCGTTGCCGCCTCCACCACCCTGCTGCCGTCCGTGCGCCGCTCTGGCAGGGCTGACAAGGGGCGCGCTGCCAGGCAGTCATGCAGTGAGAGAGAGACAGAGGAATGGGGGACGATGGAGGGCGGTGAACAAAGCAAAAGTCAGAGAATGGACGCCTCCACCACCATGCTGCTGCTCTGGCAGGGACGACAGGGGGCGTGCTGCACGGCAGTCATGCGGTTGCAAGCAGAGTGAAGAACAGAGAGTGGGAGACAGTGTGGCGAGGGATGCAGGTGCAATTGCAGAGCCAGAGGATCCGGTGAGTGATAGCAGGACTCAAGCAGTAGCGCTACTCCTGCCACCCACATGCATGTGGCAGCAGCCGCACTGACTGAGGTGAGGTCTCACCGAATTTGAAGCAGAAGTGGTTGCAGGCGGCGCAGCGGTAGAGCACGCGGGAGAGGTCTGCCTCTGCCTTGCGCTGCCGCTCCTCCACTCGTTGCCTCATGCTCCACCCGCCCTTCTCCTCCCCGTCGTCCTGCCGGGGAAAGGGGGGGTATGGGTGGGGGAAAGGGGGGTGGGAACGGTATAGCAGTTGAGTGGGACGAAAGTGGTGTGCAGGGGCAGAGGGTGGAAGGGGCAGACGGAGCTGAATGCGCCCGTTAATTGGATGAAGGGCAGGGTGGGTCGTGATACCTTGTCGTAGCTGACGAGAAGCCCGTCGTGGTGCGGCTTGAACTTGTGCCCATTGGTCTTCCACATGGCTGCTGTAGCCTGCCGGGCCAAGCACGCAAGGCGGTGGGAGGGGAAGGGAGGCATGTATGAGGCGAGATGAGATGAGGCAAGAATGGGAAGCTGCCCGCTAGAAGGAAGCTGTTTCCAGGCGCTCTTCTCGTGGCGGTTGAACTGCGCTGCCACGAGACGAGGTGGACGGGGATTGGTGGTTGGCGTGGGCAGGTGCAGTGAGAGGCGAGTAGATGCAGAGAGGTGCGGCATGGGAACCAGCAGCACCACGACTAACAGGGCACACACTGTGCAGCAGGAATTGCACCCACTGGTGACAGACAGTGGCACGGACAGCAGTGAAGGGCATCCGATCAGCAAAAAGAGGTACCAAGGGAGCATATAGTAGGCTGATGTGCCAAGGGTTCACAAGCTACCAGCCTCTCACTCACACGCTACTAACATCCCAGTTACTGCTGCTAGCCTGCAACTACTGGCCAGCATCCCACTCACATGCTGCTTCTCGTCAAAGTCAACGAAGCACATGCTGCGCACCTGCACACCACGTGCAGAGACCAGATTATGATGAGCGCATGTGACGTACAAGACATGTTACGGTACACACATGGCAGCGCCTGCATGAGTTGCTTGGAGCAGAAAGGGCGAGTCAGATGCATTTCGGGTTCACAGCGGTGTGAAACACAAGAGGATACGAAAGCAGGATTCAACAGCAAGCGACTCGTTCAAAGCAAGCATCGACAGCAGCAGCAGCAGCAGCAGCAGCAGCAGCAGCAGAAGCAGCAGTAGAATGGCATCTCACCCGACGAAAGGCAATAAAGCCCTCCAGATGGCGAAAGAGCTGTGCGACGAGAGTGAGTCCACATCACATGCCCAGGGCGAGGTGGGCACACAGACGAGGGGTGGAGGGCGAAGGAAGGGGAATAGGAGAGGAAAGAGGGGGAGGAGGGTGGGAGAGGAAACAGAGGAGGGTAAAGAGACTGAGTTGCACATCATCGCACAGCTCCTGCACCAGTGTGTGTGAACGGTGCAAGGTTAGCAAGCATGCGGTAGCGTGTGCTATGAGCGTGCAGCGTGGGCTGGCGCAAGGCACAGAATTAGCTACAGCTCAGTCGGCACAGGGAAAGGGAGACACGTGTACCAAATCGTTGCTCTCTTGATTGCTCGCGCGCATCGCTCTCGCACGCACAGTCCGTCGGTCAGGCAGGATCAAGAAACGGCCCGGCGATCCCATGTGGAAAACAGCGCGATCTCGCGGCCAACATAGGAAAAAAAAATATTCTGGCCACAATTGTTCTGGTGCAGTACACCCAAACACGCTGAACGCTGCAGGAGCGGGAAATTAAATAAATAAAAATATTCCCGCAACGTCCCGGCGTTGATCCCGCGGTGCGCTCACCCCTTCGAGCTGCTCCGTGGAGGCGCCGGGCGGCACGTTGGTGATGTAGAGCGTGCGCGACGGGTTCACCCACGTCTTCTCCTTGAACGTGCTCTTCTTCCCCTTTATCCCCGCCGCGCGCGCCGCCTCCTCCGACAGGCCGCCATAGTTAATGCTTCCGCCACTCATGGCTGTAGTAGTCGTGTTCACGATGCGGGACGCTTTGGATGGCGCTGAGACGCTGACTGCTGCACGTCAAGCTCCCAAAGAGAATTAGGTTTGCGACCCTGCGCAGTTGCAGTGTTATGAGTTGTATGAAAGAAGAGTGCGCAGAATGCAATATCGCGGAATTGATTACAACTACTGAGCAAACATCGGGGCCTAGGCATAATATAGCAAGGCTAGCTAAGCCCGAGGTCGCGAAGTCGTGCGAGGGTTGGGTGTAGGTTTGGGTTTGGAAAACCCGAAGGCGACGCGGAGGACGTTCGGGAGGCGAGGTCGTCGGACCGAGCCTGAACTCCGAAAAGTTGGAAATGTACGCGTAAGCGGTGCCTCAGTAAGGAATTAGCAAAATTCCTTACACTACCCCCCCCTTCAAGAAAGGTGGTCAATATCAGGCACGTGTCGGCGAGAAAGATACTGCCGGAGTACCGAGTGCCCTTCTAGTGAGTCAGCCGGGACCCACGTGTCGTCGTCACTTGTGCGATCCACCCATCGCAGTAGAAAATCGACGTGGCGGCCGGCTGGGGTCGCACGAATGCGATGATTCAATATCTTCCAGGGTTGGAGCGTGGGATCTGCTACCGGTCGGACACTTGGCGCCTGGTGGGGTCGAGCGACGTCGGAGGACTGGGGTGCCACGTAGTGGCGAAGTAAACTGACGTGGAAGGCGTCGTGGATTTGCGAGTCGTCCGGGAGGAGAAGTTTCGCAGTGACCGGTGTCAGCATTCGAATGATGCGGAAAGGTCCCACGTATCGAGGACGCAGTTTTGCGGGTTGGGGCAGTCTGAGGTTTTTGGTGTCCAGGAGAACCATCTGCCCCTCGCGGAAGGGTAAATTTCGTCGGTGTTGGTCAGCGTAGCGGCTAGCGGTCGAATTCGCTTTTCGGATAAAGTCAACTGCTTTGGCACGCGCGTCCTGGAGTTCCGAAATAAACTGCTGTGACCTGGGTACCGGGTTGTCGGGAGTTGTCGATGAGGGTACCACCGGGTCTATCCCGTAATTCAGGTAGAAGGGTGATTGCTTGGTCGTTGCAGATGGGGCGTTATTGTACGCAAACTCGAGCATGGGAAGGTAATCTTCCCACTTGGTGATGTCCGGGCAGTTCGTGCGAATCAGCTGCTCCATCGTTTGGTTTGTCCTCTCCGTCTGTCCGTCGGTTTGCGGGTGGTAGGACGACGAAAATTGCAGGCGGGTGCCGTACTGTGCCCATGTCTCCTGCCAGAATTTCGACGTGAATTTCGGATCTCGTTCGCTGATGATCGCCGAAGGTAACCCGTGGAGGCGTACGACGGTCGAGATGAAGAGTCGCGCTGTTTCTTCGGCTGTGATCGTTGTACGGCAGGGCGCGAAATGCGCCATTTTCGTTAAGCGATCAACGACGACGAGCACGGAGTCGTTGCCACTTGCGCCAGCTGGAAGGCCCGTGACGAAATCCATAGTCACCTGTTGCCACGGTCGTTCGGGTGGCTCGAGGGGCTGCAGTAAGCCAGATGGTCGTTGTCGTGATGACTTCATTGCCTGGCACGTCGGGCAGGCGGACACATAGCGCTGCACGTCCGACGCCATGTCGGGCCAGTAGTAGTTCCGCTGCAGCAGCTTCAATGTTTTGTCGATGCCGAAATGCCCGGAGAGGTTGGAGTCGTGTACTTCTTGCGTTAGTAATTCGCGTAAGGGTCGGTAGGAAGGTACCCAAACTCGGTTAGTACCGACTTTTAGGTAGTAACTTCCATGCGGTGTAGTGACCCCGCGGTGTTGATTGGTCCTGAAAAATCTGTCGATCCTGTAGCCGTGCTTGAATAATCATGCCAATAAAGGGTTGGAATGGGCGATTAGTACTGCTGCGGTCTGCATGGAAGGGCGGGTCAGGGCGTCGGCGATGTTGTTGGCGCCCTTTTTATATGTGATGGTGTAGCGGAAATTTGATTCGAGGTAGTCAAGCCACCGGATTTGTCGTGGGTTGAGCTGTGGTTGGCTGCGCATGTACTGTAGTGACTTGTGGTCAGTTCGGATTGTGACATCCGCTCCCGTGAGGTAGCATCGCCATGTTCGAAACGCCTGCACGATGGCGAGCATTTCCTTGTCGTGAACCGGGTAGTTGCGCTCGGGCGGCTGCATTTTTCTTGACTCGTACGCGATGGGTTGCAGTCCGTTGCCGAAGTCCTGTAATAGCACAGCGCCGACCGCGAAATCGCTGGCGTCCGTCACGACTTCGAACGGTCGAGATGGATCTGCCAGTCGAAGCACCGGGGGTGAACTCAAAATTTTCTTCAGCTCGTTGAAAGCCAGCTGTTCTCTCTCCCCCCAAAAAAACTGCACGCCCTTATGCAGGAGATCGGTTAACGGCCTGGTTACCCCCGCCATATTGGGTACAAAACGGCGGACGTAGTTAACGAAGCCGAAGAAACTCTGCAACTCAGTGATGTTCGTGGGCGGCTTCCACTCCAAAATCGCTTTTACTTTTTGAGGGTCGATTTTAATGCCTTCCCCAGAGACAACGTGCCCCAGAAACTCCAGCTCCGACCGTAAGAACTCGCACTTAGAGCCCTTCGTAATCAGCCGGTTCTGCTACAAGCGTCGGAACACTTCGTCTAAGTCCTGTAAATGCTGCTCCCGAGTCTTGCTGTACACCAGGATGTCGTCCAGGTAAACAATAACTTTTTTATCCAACATGTCCCGAAACACTCCATTCATAGTGAGCTGGAAAGTCGAGGGTGCGTTCGTCAGCTCGAACGGCATCACGGTGTACTCATAACTGCCGTAGCGGGTGCGGAATGCGGTCTTCGGGCAGTCGTCGGCGAACACACGAATTTGATGGTAGCCACCTCGCAAATCGATTTTCGAGAAGAAACGAGCCCCGCGAAGTTGATCCAGCAGGTCGTCTGCTCGTGGGATCGGATAACGCGACTTGATTGTGACCCGATTCAACACTCGATAGTCGATGCACATGCGCAGGCCTCCGTCCTTCTTCGGTGTGAATAGTATCGGGGCGGCGTACGGCGACGTGCTCGGCCGGATAAAACCCTTAGAAAGCAGATAATCCAACTGTTTCTGCAATTCGTCGAGCTCCGTTTGGCTGAGCCGCCATTGGGACCGAACGGTTGGTTTCGCGCCTGGTTCCAGCTCAATCCTGTGGTCTTCCGGACGCTGAGGTGGCAGCCCATCAGGTAGGTCATCTGCGAATATTTCGGGGTACCTCCGAATTATGCTCGCCACGTCGTCGGGTACAGCAGCGCAGAGCATGTCGATGTCGGCAATTTTTTCATAAGCCACCACCTCGTACAGCTGTACGGCGTAGCCTTGTGCTCCCCGTTTTATCGCCCTCTTCAGCGTTATCGCGTTGACACATGTTGTCGTCGGCTCCGGCTCCGCCCATTTCGGAAGTGTCACGCGCCCCTTGTTGCACAGCACCGTGATCGCTCCCGTCGTCCAGTCGATGGTCGGATTGAAACGCTGCAGCCAATCCCTTCCGAGCAGCACATCGCAACCGTCCTGTGTTGTCGCCAGCATTCGCATGGAGAACCCGAAATCGTCGCCACACTTCATCCGAATTTGTCGGACCTCGTCCTTGATCGCCAGCGGTGTTCCGTCCACCAATCGCGCATCAATCTCTGGTAGACACCTGTCCAGCTTGACTCCGATTTTTTTTGCCGTCGCCAGGTTGACGAGACTGTGGCTCGCCCCACCTGAGAAGAAGTGAACGAGAATGGAATGACTATGAACGAAGTGAGTACAAATAGGAAACCCTAATTGGGTTGTACCCCCTATGAGATACCCCACTATAGCCTACACAAATAAATAAGCTATAATGTTCTGACACACCCCCATAGGCAAAGTGGGGGAGAACAAGGGGTCACAAGACCAGTCAAGCAAAGCAAAGCAAAGCTCAGGGTGGATCACAAAGTCACCACACATTCCGAGCACAAGTTCAAAGGCCAGAAGGCCAGTCCACATGCAAGATCATATACAGAGATATACAAGAGTCAAGCAAGCAAGGGCAAGAGTATATATAGGTGAAGGTACAAGCAAGGTCAAGAAGTGAGCAAGTGAGGCAAGACAGGCACAAGACCCAGCATCGTGCAGCAACGCTGATGATCACAAGGCGCAAGAGCCTTGGTGAAGACATCAGCAGTGTTAGCCTCAGAGGCCACGTACACAAGTCGCAACTGTCCACGCTACTGCAGCTCACGAGCAAGAAAGTAGCGGAGAGCAATGTGCTTTGTCCTGTGCTCCAGTCGCTGCTCTCGACATAAAGCCAGCATGGCCTTGTTGTCTACGTACAGGACTGGAGGAGAACGCGGCGGCTCTCCAAGGTCGGTCAGCAGGTAGGTGAGCCAGCGAAGCTCCTGGGCAGCCATAGCCCCCGCGTAGATCTCAGCCTCACAACTAGAGCCGAGAACAGAAGACGAGCGGGTAGCCCGCCACGAGACAGAGCCGGAACCAAGGCTGAAGGTGTAACCCTGTGACGACCGCTGCGTAGCCTGGTTGTCAGCCCAAGAAGCGTCCGCGTGCCCAGTGAGGACCACTGGACTGCGCCCTCCAAGCACTAGCCCCATGCCCGACGTGCTGCACAAGTAGCGCAACACCCTCTTCGCTGCAGCCATGTGCTCTGGTCGGTGTCTCCCAGGAGCAACATAGCGTGCGAGAATGCTAAGAGGGTATGCAACGTCAGGTCGTGTGCAGGTCATCAGTTACATGAGGCAGCCAACAAGCTCTGCATATGGGCCACTCGACTCTACGGACTCATCCGAAGGCAGAGCTGAGAGCGAGTGGCGAGTAGGCAGAGGAGTGGCCTGAGGCGAGGAGTACGTGAAGCCGAAGCGCTGAAGGACCTGCTGCACCATGTGTGACTGAGTCAGGGTAATGGTGCGGCGTGCTCTGTCCCGGGTGGTCTGCAAGCCAAGGTAGCTGCGCAGCTCACCCAGGTCAGTACACGTGTGTCTCTTCTGCAGCTCGGACTTCACGTAGGCGAGTCCAGCAGTGTCAGCTGTGGCAAAGACCAAGTCGTCGACGTACACGAGGATGTAGAGCGGCGGCAGAGAGGTGTCGGTGCGCAGAAACAGCGACGGGTCGGCAGTAGAAGGAGCAAACCCAAGTGCCGCGAGAGTAGTCCTCAGTGTGTCGTGCCACTCACGTGGCGCCTGGCGGAGACCGTAGACTGGACGCCGGAGACTCCACTGGGTACCAGGAGGGAAAGACCCAGTGAAGCCAGGTGGGCGACGCAGCCAGATCTCCTCGTGCAGGCTGCCCTGCAAGAAAGCAGTGCTGAAGTCGAGAGAGTGCAGCTCGTAGTCACGGTGAGCAGCAACGTGGAACAGTACCCGAAGAGTGGTCATCTTCGGGGTGGGGGAGAAGGTCTGAAAGTAGTCAACTCCCTGCCGCTGACTGAAGCCACGAGCCACGTAACGCGCCTTGAAGACAGGCGGAGAACCCGGCGGCCGCTTCACCTTGAAGATCCACATGCCACTGACTATGTTCGCCCCAGGAGGGGGAACAGCGTCAACGTAGGTGCCTGTGGACTTCCAGGAAGCCATCTCTGCATCCATAGTTGCCTGCCACTTAGAGGAGTAGGGACCCTCTATCGCCTCCGCGTAAGAGCGCGGAGTCGGGATGTCAAGTGCATCCGGGTCTCCCTCAGGGGCTAGCAGTACAGACGCGAGATGAGGTGAAGCGGCGACCAGACACTGGAACTCCTCCTGCCTGTCCTCAAGGACGTCCGTGTCAAGGGCACACTCACCCCCGACGGACGGAGGACAGACAGACTCAGACTCAGCGACAAGACTAGCAACGTAGTCTAGACGACAGCGCGCAGCAAAGTCGACGAGCTCAATGACAAGGGCAGACGCAGCAGAAGACTCGAAAGAAGGGTCAGTGACATCCGGTGCGTGCCAGGGACAGGAGGAGGACGCTGACGCGATCCGCGACCACTAGTGCGCGCAGCACAAACAGGCGACGTAGGACGAGACGCAGGCTCACGACGCTCAGTAAGACCTCCAGTAGGACCAGCGTAGGGAGAAGGAGCAGGCAAAGGGGAGGCAGGCTGTAGCTGTGACTGTGACTGGACAGGCTGTGGACCCTCTAAGGCAAGAGAAGGAGGACCAGTAGAAGGTGTAACGAAGAACCTGCTGCAGGAGTGGAACGAAGTACGGTCGAGGCCGCGTGGCGATGCCAGAAACAGCAGGGACAGCACCAGGACCCCCAGCAAGAGTGCCCGCTCCAGCAGCACCTCCAGTAGCTCCAGCACCTCCAGCAGCACCAGAACCCCCAGTAGCACCTCCAGCAGCTCCAGAACCTCCAGCAGCACCAGGAGCACTCCCAGCAGGACCGCCAGTGGTAGTCTCAGCGCCAACACCCTCAGCAGCACCAGCTCCAGTCGAACCTGCAGGCCCAACAGCTCCAGTACCCCCAGTACGAGCACCTCCGGGACGCGCGGCAGCAGTACCCTCTGCAGCCAAAGAACCTCCATCACCAGCAGCACGCCTCCAGCGCCGGGCAAACCACTCACGCAGCTCCTGTGGGGAGAGTGGCTCTCGGCGAGACGAAGCACCTCCAGGCGGAGAACGTCCAGGTGAAGAACCTCCAAGCTCCGCACCCTTAGGCAAAGCACCTCCAGGCAGAGCACCCCTAGGCACAGCACCCCCAGGCTCAGCACCCCCAGGTCCAGCACCCCCAGGCTCAGCACCTCCAGACTCAGTACCCCCAGGCACAGCACCCCCACGCTCAGTACTCCCAGGCTCAGCACCCTCAGACTCCGCACCCCCAGTCGCAGCACCCCCAGGCGTAGCACCTCCAGTCCCAACACCCCCAAGCTCAGCTCCCGCATCAGCACCAGAGTCACCAGTGACCTCGACAGGCTCAACCGCGTCTACCTGGGACAGACCTGACGGGGCAGGACCCTGAGGGGGGAGGGGGTCGACCGAGGGGGGACCTGGTACCAAGAAGAGCGGGGGCAGGGGGAGGGACGGAGTGCGGTAGGGGAAGAGGCGGTAGTAGGGTACCGACTCGTCGAACGTGACATCCTGGGAGGACAGAACACGTCGAGAGGTGGGGTGGTAGAACTGCCACCCAGGGGCGTCGTGGGGGAACCCCAGGAAGACGCAGGGAGCAGCGCGAGGGGACAGCTTGTCCGCAGACAAGTCGCGGACAAACGCCCGAGATCCCCAGACCCGGAACGCCGACGCATCGCCAACCTTCCCCGTCCACAGCAGGGCTGGGGAGGTCTCCGGCCTAGAGACCCTCGGGTGGAGGTTGATCTGATGCGCCGCGTACGTGACCGCAAACGACCACAGAAAATGGGGGGCAGCCGCATGCATTATGGACGTACGGGCGACGTCCATGACCATGCCAATGCGGCGCTCAGCAATCCCATTTTGCTGCGGTGAGTCCGGAAGCGTAAAGGTCTGGCGGATGCCTCGCGCACGACAGTAGGCACGCAGAAGGCCAGAGGAGAACTCTCCGCCTCTGTCCGAGTGCAGACGCAACACAGGAAAGTCCGAGCCAAAGCTCTGCCTGGGCTGGAGACGAGCTGCGCGGATCCAGTCGATCACCACCTCAGTGACATCACCCTTGCTGCGCAAGGGGAAGACTGTGGTGTAACGCGAGTAGTCGTCAACCACCAACAGGAAGTAGTGCTCGTGACCGAGTCCACGGACGCGGGCAGGGCCCCACACGTCCATGTGAAGCGTCTGCAACGGAGCCTCAGTCGGAGGAAACTGGGAGGAGTGAGGGGCAGCACGCTGGCGCCCCTCGACACAGGGGACACAGGCAAGGCCAGGGCCCCGAGGAAGGGGAGGGAGGGACCGGGGGAGACCAGACACAAGAAGACGGGAGGCCATGCCTCTGAGCCGAAGCAGAGAGGGGTGGCCAAGGCGGTGGTGCCAGAGGAGGGTCTCGTGAGACAGACGGCGACACGAACAGGGGGCAGACTCAGGACCAGACCTGGACGCTGCAGCAAACACCTGACTAGACGAAGAGACCCTACCAGACTCAGCACCTGGAGGAGAAGCAGTGGTCAGTGTGTACAAGCTCGACCCTGGCTGACGTGTAAACGTAGCCAGGTGGCGACCTGTGCTAGCCTCTGTGCAGTGTGTCACCCGCTGACGAGCAGGAGTAAACTGGTGGACACCCGCATCCTGTAGGCAGCACCACTCACTAGGTTCGTAGAGAACGAGGGGAGGTAGAGACCAGACAGGGTGCCAGAGGGAGCCGCCGGACACGGGAGGACTGTGGAGAAACGAGACAGGACAGGACCCCCAGAGGGGTCAGCCAGGGACACCGCAACCGGCCGACTAAGCGGCGTGAGAGTGGTGCAGTCCCGAAAGAAGGAGCGAGACGCCCCAGAGTCAAGGGTGAAGGTGTGAGAGGCCGAAGCCGACACAGTACCTGAGAGTGCAGACTCACCAGTACCTGAGAGCACAGACGCACTGGCACCTAGAGCAGCAACCTCACCGGCACCTGACGCAGCAGTATCAATGCCCGGGTCGGGCGGGAAACACCGATAACAGTCACCCTCATCACTAACAGTCACAGTATACATGGCAGCAAGGATAGCATCAAAGTCAAGATCAAAGATAGCTACGCCAGCCCTAGAAAGCTCTCTCCAGCGGGGGATCTCAGAGGCCTCCGGAAACTGCTGGCGCCAAGCGTCGGTCAGGCGGGCAAAGCAGCGGCGGGCGGTGTGGGTGCCCCCACACTGCTCACCCGCACGGTCACCGGTGCGAAGAACGTAGGTGCAGGGACCGAACGCCCCACCACGCTGACGCTGCAAGTACCACTCACGGAGCTGCTGAGGGGCGGGGACGTCGCGAGAGCGCTGCTGCTGCTGCTGCTGCTGCTGCTGCTGCTGCTGCTGCTGCTGCTGCTGGCGCTGACCACCCCCAGTGCTGCTCCGCTGGGACGAGCCACTCCGACCACCCCCACCACCGCCACCCTCGCCCCCGCCGCTCCCACCGCCACCTCCACCGCCACCTCCGCCGCCACCTCCGCCTCCACTGCCGCCACTAGTACCTCCACCCCCGCCCCCACCTCCACCACCACCCCCACCCCCCCCGCCGCCCCCACCTCCTCCGCCACCGCCCCCGCTAGCTCCACCCGCTCCCTTGCCCCCCTTGCCCTTGCCAGAGCGGCGCCTACCGCTGGGGGCAGACGCCGCACCGACCGACTCTAGACCAACGAGGTCGGCCGCAGCAGCAGAGGCGACAGAGGGTAACAGGGGGGAAGGAGAACACCCCTCAAAGATGGGGGTGCGGGGGTCACCACGAGAGGCTCCTACAGCGACTATGCTCTTCTCGGCCGCTAACAGGGACTTCTCGAGGAGGTCGACAGTGAGGGTGGTGGGACAGACAGAGAGAAACTGGTCCCTAACAGCACGAAGGGACTCTGGGAGACGGGTGACTAGAAAGTAGAGGGTGATGTACATGGGAGGGCGGTTTTCGGCGCAGAAGGCAGCTAGAAGCGCAGCTCGGTAGCGAGTGTCACTAGCGCGCAGGTGGGTAAAGAGGTCAGCGACTGTAGGAAAGGCAGCTAGGTCAGGGAAGAGGTAAGGTAGCATGAGGCGGCTCAGTGTAGCAGTGGAAGGGGAGGAGTAGCGCGCAACTACAGGGTCGTACAAGGCCTGAGCGGTCTTGCACTGACTAAAGTGTGCACGCTCAGAGGAAGGGAGGTGGCGACGCACAGCAAGACGTGCAGCAGCATCGCGTGTGGCCCACTTGGAGCGAACAGTGGGGTCAGCATCAGCAGGAGGGGCAGGGACAGCGCCTGAGGCAAAGTCAAAGAGAGAGATGTCATCTACTGAATCGCACTGCAAGTACAGCTGCAGGTCCTCGACCCAGACCGCAAAGTCAATGGCGCGACCCTCAGCGTCAAAGGCCAGGACACTAGGGGTGGCCATGATAGCAGCCGACAGTCTCACCAGAGAGGAAGGGTCGAGCAGCTCAGTAGGACAGCAACACGGCAGCTCAGCAACTCCGCCGGCCTAGGAGTAGCAGCAGCCCCACAGGACCCGGCGCTCGGCACCGTAGGCGGCTCGGGCGGCTCGGGTGGCTCGGGCGGCTCGGGCGGCTTGGGCAGCTCGGGCGGCTCGGGCGGCTCGGGCGGCTCGGGCGGCTCGGGCGGCTCGGGCGGCTCGGGCGGCTCGGGCGTGCAGCGGCACGGGCGACTCGGGCGGCTCTCTGCTCGGGCGGCGCTCGCGGCTCGGGTGACACGGGCGGCGCGGGCGTCGTGACGGGCTGCCCACGGGCGGCTCACGGGCGGCTTCACGGGCGGCTGCACGGGCGGCACTGGCGGCTGCACGGGCGGCTGAACGGGCGGCTGCACGGGCGGCTGAACGGGCGGCTGAGGGCGGCTGCACGGGCGGCTGAACGGGCGGCTGAGGGCGGCTGAACGGGCGGCTGAGGGCGGCTGTACGCTGGGCAGCTGCACGAGCGGCTGCACAGGCAGCTGCAAGGGCGGGTGCGCGGGCGGCTGCACGGGCGGGTGCGCGGGCGGCTGCACGGGCGGGTGCGCGGGCGGCTGCACGGGCGGCAGCACGGGCAGTTGCCTGGGCGGGTCGTCGGGCGGCGCACAGGCAGCTCACGGGCGGCTGCACGGGCGGCGCGTCGAGCTACTGAGGGCGACGCACGAGCGGCGCACGGGCTGCGCACGGGCGGCGTGCGGGCGGCTAGCGGGCGCGCGGGCGCTAGGGCGGCGACGGGCGGCGCGTCGGGCGTCAGGCGCGCGGGCGCTAGGGCGGCGCTCAGGCTCTAGGGCGGGCGGCCGTCAGGCTCTAGAGCAGGCCGCGCGCGGGCGCTAGGGCGGGCGGCGCTATGGCGCTAGGGCGGGCGGCGCTCAGGCTTGAGGGGCCGTTAGGGCAGATCGAAAAAAAAGGAAGAGAAAGGGCCCGGAGGACGCTTCGGGCAGAAAAAAAATTTACGAGGTAGTGATGGTGGGCCCTAAGCACAGTTCCCACAGGGGAACCTGCTCGATACCATGAGAAGAAGTGAACGAGAATGGAATGATTATGAACGAAGTGAGTACAAATAGGAAACCCTAATTAGGTTGTACCCCCTATGAGATACCCCACTATAGCCTACACAAATAAGTAAGCTATAATGTTCTGACACCACCGTCGACGAATAATTTTATGTTATGCCCGTTAACCCTCCCCACGACCAGCACAGGGTGATCCACGTGTTCATCCACCTTATTCGTCCGGTTGCGGTCGATAGCCCGTATCGGTACCACTACTCGGTGTGGATGTTGATTGCCGGGCGACGGGGTCTCGTCAGTAGGTGGCCCGACTGCTACTGACTCGTTTCTTTTCCTGACCCCTCTCCGTCGTTCCTGTTTCCCTGTTTCAGCTTCGGGCAGTCCTTCTTCCAGTGGCCCGGTTGGTTGCAGTTGAAGCAGTTGTTGTTTCCCCGCCTCGGTGCATCCACCCCGTTGATTGTGGGCTGGCGCGGCGGTCCACGAAATTGAGTGCCCTCCCGGGAACTCATTATCGCCCATTGCATCAGCGCATCCGTCGATTCGGCCACTTGGACGGCTTCGATAAATACGCGTGGCCTCGCCCGTCGCACCTCGTACTGTACGTCGTACTTGAGGCCTGCGACGTATCGGTCGAGTCGTTCCGCATCGCTCATATCGTCCACTTGGTCAGCCAAATTGCAAAATGTCGCCGTGTAATCTTGGACCGACGCCACCTGCTTCCAGGTACGCAGCTTCATGCGAGCAGAATCCGAGGCGGATACATGCTCGAATCTGCTTCGCAGCGCGGCGCCCCACTCCGTCCATGTGCGTATCGTGGCCACTCCGAAGATTGAAGTTGCCTGTTGCGTGACAGCTGCCCAGGTCCCGTCGTTCGCACGTGATATCCCTGCCGGAGCCCCCTCTGGCTGAAGAGTCCGCTTCCACCATTCCAACGCCGGTCCTCGCAATAGTGACACTGCAAAATTAATGCGGGTAGCATCGTCAGCAATTTGCGCAGCATTGAAAAACACCTCTACATCGAACAACCAAGCTGACACAGTGACGGCTTTGTCGTTGGGGTTGAACGGGGGCGGGTTCGTCGGTTTTATTTTAACAGTTGTTGAGACTGTTGCTGCTGCATGCATCGGGGGCGCCATTGAAGCCATCACCGGGGTTGTCGCTGGTGCCTGTCGTGGCGTCATCTGCGACTGTTGCCTCGGCTGTGACTGTTGCTCCTGCGTCCCTTGTGCTCGTTGCGTTCGTGCTGTCCGCTCGTCTTCAGCGTCCAGCGAGTTCTGTAGCTCGCTGAGGACCTCGTCGTTAGGCACGAAAGTGCTTCCTGCTTCATCCACGGCGGGCGACTCCTGACGCACTTCTCCTCGCGTCTGGCGTAGCTCGGCGTTTTCCTCCCTCAGGCGCTCCAACTCGCCAGACATAGTCTGCATGTTGGCCTGCAGCGCCCGAAACTGTTGCATGAGCTCGTTTAACTCCGCCTGGTCCATGTGTCGCAGGCTTCGTCTAACGGGCAGGGGGTTAACAACGATTTTTCTGGTTTTGATGAAGGCGCAAACGCTATTAGTCGGAGCGAGATAATCGTATCTATCTCTCAGCCGACCGCTTTGCAGCCCACCAAACCTATCGCACCCCCGTACTAAACTACCCCGGAAAGTGGAGGGTAACCTAGGAAAGTAGCTCTGATACCATGTGTTATGAGTTGTATGAAAGAAGAGTGCGCAGAATGCAATAACGCGGAAATGATCACAACTACTAAGCAAACATCGGGGCCTAGGCATAATATAGCAAGGCTAGCTAAGCCCGAGGTCGCGAAGTCGTGCGAGGGCTGGGTGTAGGTTTGTGTTTGGAAAACCCGAAGGCGACGCGGAGGACGTTCGGGAGGCTAGGTCGTCGGACCGAGCCTGAACTCCGAAAAGTTGGAAATGTACGCGTAAGCGGTGCCTCAGTAAGGAATTAGCAAAATTCCTTACATGCAGGGCTTTGTGGTTTCCTCGTTACGTTGCGGTGGTGTCACAACATATATTTGTAACTGCCTGTAGCTGTAGTTAGTGTAGATATTTAAACTTTGTTTGGTGGTGCACCTTATGTGTTTCCTTTGCTATATGTACTTCGAAACTATAGTGAAGCCACACATTCTCCAACTCCTCTTCCAATTCCCTCGACACTCACCTAACCCACTCGAACTTACCTATCTCCTAGTGTGGGCCTAGGCTTAGCCTAGGCCCCACACCTAATATTTTCGACATGTTATCAGAGCGACATTCGTTCTGGCCTCACGTTTCCGCTGCTATGATTTTCTGGTCGCGCGCCTAGGGCGCGTGACGATTTTTACCTTGTCCCGCCCTCGGTTGGCGTGTGACGCCTTTTCTGCCCGTCGCGCGCCCCGTGGCACGCGACGGTGCCCTTAACCTGCCCATCGTGCGCCCCGTGGCACACGATGGTGCCCTGCTCGTCGTGCGCCCCGAGGCACACGATCGGGCCCTTTCTCTTATCTTACCCGTCGTGCGCCCCGTGGCACTGGCACGCGACGGGCCTTTCCGCCCCTGCTCTCCCTGAAGCCGCCCCTGATCCATCTGCGCCGACACCGTTTAGCCGCTCTGCGGCTTTCTTCCCGCCCACCCCCCTCCTCAATTGTCTCCCTGCAGCCGTGGGGAGGAGGGTATGGGGGTGGCGGGTGTTGGAGTGTTGGGTCAACTCTCTCCCTTCCCCTCCTCCTTCTTTCAGTCCCACCGCTGCAGCTGCCGCTGGGGGGGGAGGGTGTGAGGATGTGGGGGAGCAGGGGGAGTGGTACCGGGGTGGCGGGTGTGAGGCAACATGCAGCCGTCCCTCCACCTCTCCTCTCTTCCCCCCTTCTCTGCTGCTCCTGCAGCAGTGTGGGGGAGGGGAAGGAGGAGGGTGAGGAGATGGAGGGGGTGACCACTTAGTGTCAGCCCGCCTGCATTACCTACTGTTGCTTGCTTTTTATTTTGCATGTGTACACCTGCAGGTTGTATTCTGCACATACTCCAGCTGCAGGCAGTTATGGGGGAGTGTCACAACATATATTTGTAACTGCCTGTAGCTGTAGTTAGTGTAGATATTTAAACTTTGTTTGGTGGTGCACCTTATGTGTTTCCTTTGCTATATGTACTTCGAAACTATAGTGAAGCCACACATTCTCCAACTCCTCTTCCAATTCCCTCGACACTCACCCTAGGAGAAACCCGCTCGACACTAAATCCTGGTTGGGCCTAGGCTACTAAGCCTAGGCCCTAGTTAATCTTAACTCTCTCATTCGTTCAACTCTCGACAGGTGGTGCACGGTACCTTGGTTCATACGCAATACAACAAGCTTAATGGAGCATGAAAACACAAGCTTATTTATAATAACGTCTCTGAATCCACACCTACGCGATATTGTCTAACAGAGCCATTAGTCAACGGGGATAGCTCGATTCGCCTCGTACCATATTGTGCTTTCCGTGCGTAGTGTTCCCTGGGCGCTTGCAAATTGGCTAGAGGCGTGTGCCTGCTCTAGGCTGTCAGATATGAAAGTCGAGCCAACAATTCCGAAGGAGTGGTTTAGGTTTGGATCCAAGCAACAAAAACTGTCAACCTTGGTTCTGGCCATGCGGTGCTGCTCTACTGATTGTGGATAAATGGCCAACAGTTTGTTTCATTTTGTGTGGGAACAATTATAGCAATCTGCGTAAGTGTTGGGATGACAGCGACATTCTAGGGGCAGTTGAAGGAAACCCTTGGGTTCCGTTCGGTGCGATTACGGAACGGGGCTCTGGGGGTCGCCATACAGTACCAACTGTTTTCAAACATGTCTCCAAACAAGTGGGCCGAGCCAAGTCTCACCTGACCCGAGACACAGCACACCAATAGGAAACGTGCCCAACGTCTCCCGTTATGTGAGCGCCCGGGATGGTAGCGGAAGCGCGTTCTTTCAAGCAAGTCGACTGGCTGGTTGTGTTAACGGAAGCCTTCGTCGATTCGTTGACTGCTGGTTACTTAGCTCGCATTTGTGGGAAAACGTCGCCAGCTTCCACGCGGAATTTTTCTTCAATCGCCAGCCGCGCTTGATGGCGCGCACCGAATATTTCAACGATGCCGCCGCCTGTTTGCACCTTCGTTGTTCCAGACAGCTACGGTTACCACCAGGCCGTCATCCGCCCAGCCAGACCAACCCAACTGTTCTGTGGTCGTCGCCAGCCATGGCCATCGAACGACACTTACGGAATCGTGGGTGACTACGGCAAAAACAGCAGATTTCACTTGCTAACACCGAAAATAGTTGCACCTCCCCCCCTGCAGAAGCCTGGTCGCGCCGCGCCTACAGAGTTCGTAGGAGGACTTAGCCAGCAATAAATGGTCAGTTGAAGAGAAAATCAGTCGTGTAAAATAGGATCACGGGTTTGTGAATTCTCAATATCGAACATGCAGTTGCACGATAGCTTGTAGCGCCGCCGCTCCCCCCCTTTCAGCATTATACTCCCTCACCCGTCCGACTCCTTCTGTTTATGTCTGCATGGTCCCGCGCAAGCCATAATAACCTGAAATATATCCGTCTCTCGTACGATTAGCTAGGATAGTTTCTGTAGAACCAGCACTCGTACGTACCGTATTGCAGCATCAGCGGCATCAACGTAACGTGGTGAGTGCTCAGCCATGGCGGCCGAGTGTTAGCTCACTCGCATGCCTTTCATTCCCTCGCTCACTAACTCCCCTCTTCTCCTCCTTCTCTACCCAGAACTCGCACCACACCGTCAAAGGCGGCATGGCGGCCCCGTCGCGGTGGCTCGCGTTCGCGCTTCTGCTGCTGCTGTGCGCAGCGCTCGCTCCTCTCGCCGCCCACGGTACGCCGCCAGCCGCAGCCCATTCTCGCGCGCACCGCCCAGCCCTCCGCCCCCATCTCTCTCCGCGTTCTCTCCGCTTCTGGCTTCGCCCTCGTCTTCCTTTCCGCTCAAGTATGCGCCGCTCCCCTCACCCCCAATCCCCCGCCCCTTCCCTGCGCTCTCTTCCGCCTTCTCCCAACCCCCGCAGCGCAATGGACGTACCTTCCTCGCATATCTCGCGGCGCTTGGCTGCCGCGCTCATTCCGTTCCGTTTCCCGCCGCGTCGTCCCCACTTACGCCGACGCAGACGCGCAACCGCTGTTCCCGCACGCGCAGTCCAAGCTGACGTCATCGCTCTCCCTCGCCCCCTGGATGTTCCCCTTCGCCCGCCCGCGCTCCTTTCTCCACACCGCCTCCCGCGCGCAGTCCCCGCCAGCGACCGACACGCGGACTGCGCCCACATTTTCCACGCTCACGCTAGAGCGTGACCAGCCGCCCAAACCACCCAAGTCGCCCAAATCACCGAAACCGCCGAAATCGCCAAAGCCGCCCAAGTCGCCGCCGCCCCCTTCCCCTCCGCCGAAGTCCCCCAAGCCGCCCAAGTCCCCCAAGCCCCCGTCTCCTCCCAAGCCAGGAAAGTCCCCCAAGCCTCCCCCGCCCCCGCCGGCCGTCCCCCTTCCGCCCCCGCCTGAGTGGCCGTCCACGTACGCGGGCGTCACGCCGCTCGCGGCGGATCCGCCGGAAACGCCGCTCTTCGATGTGAAGGAGGGGTTCGGGGCGGTGGGTGACAACGCTACCGACTCGTGGGCCGCGTTCGACGGCGCGTTCCGCGCTGCGTGTGAGAGCGCGAGGGGGAGCGGCGGGCGCGCGATAGTGCGCGTGGGGGAGGGCGCGTTCTTCCTGGCGAAGTCCATCACCGTCAACGGGTCGTGCGGCGCTGGCCTCACGCTGCAGGTACCGCTGTCATGCTCCCCCGATCTCCTGCTCTCACGCTCCGCCGATCCCCCGCTCTCTCGCTCCCCGATCCCCCGCGCCCTCCCTTTCCCGCTCCCACGCTTCCCCCGCCCCTATTCCCCCGCTCCCTCGCTCTCTGGCGCCTCCGCTCTCCACTCTCATCGCGCTCCAAGCGCCCTTCACGACCCACTCAATCTCCAGGCTGCCCCCCACCCTGTGACCTCCACCCTCCTGCATTGCCCCTCACCCACCATCCTGTCGCCCCCTTTTCCTCTCCTCCCCTTCCCCCAAACTTCCCCCGTGCCCAGGTGGACGGCACCATCTACGGGCCGCTCTCCAAGGACGGCTACCCCACGCCCTCACTTTACCTGAACGGCACCATCATCGGCGTGGCCAGCAACGGGCTGTTCCAGTTCCAGGGCGTGAAGGGGCTCGTGCTGCGCGGGGAGGGGGCGATCGACGGCAATGGGAGGAAGTTCTGGGGGTCCAAGGCGCCCACGCGGCCACACATCATTGCGCTCATCGACTGCCAGTACACCACCATCGACGGGCTGCTGCTGCGGTATGTGTGTATGTATCTGTGCGATTTGCTGTCGCATGCCACCCTCTCCTGCTGCCGCCTGTGCGCCCTACTCTCCCTTGCCCTTCCCCCAATCTCCCAATCCCCCCTCACCCCTCGCCTCCCCTCACCCTCGTTCCCCCTTCCCACGTCCCTTCTTCCCCCCTCTCAGCAACCCGCCAATGTACCACGCGTTTGGGTACGGCACGGAGGGGCTGTGGATCCCATGCTGTGCATATCCCTCATCCCCCATCCTCTCACACCCACCCCCGTTTGCCCTCCCACGTCCCTTCTCCCCCTTCTCCTCCACCACCAGCAACCCGCCAATGTACCACGTGTTTGGGTACGGCACAGAAGGGCTGTGGATCCGCGGGGTGACCACCAACAGCCCTGAGACGTCCCCCAACACGGACTCGCTCAAGCTGCTGGGCGTGCGCCACGCCGTCATCGAGAACTGCACCTTCCACGGGGGGGATGACGACGTGTCACTCGTTGCCAGGGGCGCTCAGAGCGTGGTGAACGTGACGGTCAGGAACCTCATTGCCACGGCCGGGCACGGCATCAGGTGAGCTGCTTCGAGGTCACTCGGAAGGCAGTAGGGGCGGGGAAGGGGTGGTCACTGTGACTGTTGGGTGGGAACATGATTGTTACGACCAGACACTTCCCTGTCCACTCACACTCCTTCTCACTCTCCCCCCTTGTGCCTGTGTTGCTTGCTCCCCTCCCCTTGCAGCATTGGAAGCCTGGGAGCGGGGGGGGCAGTGGCGTGTGTGTCGGATGTGACATTCAAGGACCTCATTATATCCAACCTCGATAACGGGCTGCGCATCAAGACATGGCAGGGCGGCCTGGGGATGGTGCGCAACGTGCGATATGAGAATGTGTACATGACTGACACTGACAACGCCATCACACTCAACCAGGTGAGACCATGCATGCAGAAGCAACTGCAGCAACAGCTGCAGCAGCCCCTTTGCAGAGTTTCAATGTGCAATCAGATGGAAGGCTTAGTACCATCTATATAATTTTGCTTTGTTGTGCCGTCTCCCTGCCACAGTTTTACTGCGACTCGCACCAGGACTTCTTCTGTGGCATAGCGCCTGACAACGTGGCACTGGTCAACATCACTTACTCCAATGTCTATGGCACCACCTCACGGTGAGAGATGCCATACACACCTTGCCCCACAATGGAAATGCCGACTTGAAGGTCCACCGCTTGATGTCATGTTCCAAACTTGCCATCTACTCGTGTAAAAACGGTGTGAGTATGTTATAACGTGTGTTGTATGTGTCCGGATGCAGGTATGGAATGAACATCCGATGCAGTGCGACGGTCCCCTGTGGTGGCATCAATCTCAGCAACGTTAACCTCGTCTCCTCCAAGGCAGGAAGCTCCCTTCGTCCCGTGCTGCTGAATGTGGTCAACAGCCAGGCCACAGGAGTGGTGGCGCCTTTACCGCAAGGCATGGGGTCGTATGCTGGTTGGGGCTCCACCCCTCCAACTGCAGCACAAGCTGCGAGTATACAAAAGATGATGACACATTGTGGGAGCTAACTGCTACTAGCGTTTTACACATGCGCTATGCTTTCCAATATCGCAAATCCACATCGAGAGTTATTCTTATGGGTCCCTTCAGTAGAAAAAACATGTATTGTAATAAAAAAGTGTTGGGATGAGACTCAGAACGTGTTCCGTTAACCTACTCTCAAACTATCCCATGGCTACAATATTTCTGCCTGTGACAATCGTACCGCATTTTGAGACTGGTGAGAGGCATTAGCGGGAACAAATTGTGTTGGAATCCCTTGTTCGCGCATACCCTGATTCCAGTAACGAATCAGTGACGTTACTTTAACGCCCCCATGGTGCCGTCTCGCGAACAAAAGCTGATCTTGTCTTAACTCTCTGTTGAAGGCAGTGTTACAGCCCGAAATGTGGTAACCGAGCGGTTATGAGCTGTAAATGTACGCGCTGGACATCCCCTGAGACGGTTGAAAACAAGGCCCTCAGCGTCACGGCGAATTCGATGATCCTCGCAGCAGCCATCATTGCCACCACTTGTTCCACCCCACTGAGCCAAAGCAGCACGTTTGTTCCACCATCAGCGCCGTATCCTCGCGAGTTATCGTACCCAGCAGGCAGCGTCGAGACTGAGGTGGAGGTTAGCGATGGCGTCAGCACCAGAGGACGTAGGGAGGTCGATGATGCCGTTCCTGCAGCGCGCCGATGAGCTGCAGAAGCACGACCCGCTCGTCGCTTATTACTGTGAGCACTTCGTTTCAGTAGATTCTAGGCGTGATTCTGTCGCCTCCCCTGCGGTGCACGCAGGGTGCGACGCTGTCGTAAGACTCGCGACGGGGTTGCAACGTCCGGTTTCTAGGGCGAGTAATATTTTATTTGAGGGGTTCAATGCCAAGAGTCAGAAGAAGCACATAGAAAGAGCGACATGGCTTCTTATTTTCTGCAAAGTACAGATTCGTTGTTCGTACGCGAGTGGCGGAAGGGGTTGGTGGGAGGATTCCACTGACGTGGCGCATGTTGACTGGTTCCACGATTAAGTGTGCGTGGATGAGTGGCATGGGCATGGGGCATGTGCAGGTCGGCTGTACGCGACGGACAAGGGGCTGAAGGGGCCGAGCAAGGAGAGGGGCAAGGAGACCAACGACCTGCTGCTCTCGCTGCTCGCGCGGTTAGAGAAGGTGCGTGTCATGCATGGCTGCATTAGAAGGGCCTCAAGGTGCCGAGCAAGGAGAGGGGCAAGGAGACCAACGACCTGCTGCTCTCGCTGCTCGCGCGGTTAGAGAAGGTGCGTGTCATGCATGGCTGCATTAGAAGGGCCTCAAGGTGCCGAGCAAGGAGAGGGGCAAGGAGACCAACGACCTGCTGCTCTCGCTGCTCGCGCGGTTAGAGAAGGTGCGTGTCATGCATGGCTGCATTAGAAGGGCCTCAAGGTGCCGAGCAAGGAGAGGGGCAAGGAGACCAACGACCTGCTGCTCTCGCTGCTCGCGCGGTTAGAGAAGGTGCGTGTCATGCATGGCTGCATTAGAAGGGCCTCAAGGTGCCGAGCAAGGAGAGGGGCAAGGAGACCAACGACCTGCTGCTCTCGCTGCTCGCGCGGTTAGAGAAGGTGCGTGTCATGCATGGCTGCATTAGAAGGGCCTCAAGGTGCCGAGCAAGGAGAGGGGCAAGGAGACCAACGACCTGCTGCTCTCGCTGCTGGCGCGGTTAGAGAAGGTGCGTGTCATGCATGGCTGCATTAGAAGGGCCTCAAGGTGCCGAGCAAGGAGAGGGGCAAGGAGACCAACGACCTGCTGCTCGCCCGCCTCGAGAAGGTTCGTGTCAGGCCGCGCCGCATGACGATTGTTGGCATGCAATGAGGGCACAGCACACGTTCGTCGTGGCTATACGTGTCTGATTCTGTCCGTCTCCCCATGCACGGAATCATGCAATGTAGGAAGTGCTCCACCTCCCGCTATCCCCACCCTCGCTCGCACAGCCCTGTAGTTCGGACCCTCCACTGCCGCTCGTCCTCACACCTCCCCGTCTTTCTCCCCCGCATCTCTTGCCCACCCATTCCCCACCTCGCACATGTGCCCCTCGCACGCCCTTACCCCTCCCCTGTGGCAGGACAAGGTGGAGCTACAGCTATCGCCCGAGGACAGTCTGCACGTGGAGGGCTTTGCAGAGCGCGTCTTTGCCAAGGCGGACAAGCAGGACAGGGCGGGCCAGGCCGACATGTACGCCCCTCCACCCTCACTCGCTTCAAGCCTGTGTATCACTCACTCGTGTGTCCGCTTTTCATTGCATCTCCCCTACCACGTACCAGCCTCCCATTTTCTCCTGTCCCCCCCCTCTTCCACCCCTGCTCTCCCCTGAACCCCCCGCGCCCGCCTGTTGGTGTCTCTCAACCCGGCAGCTCGACAGCCAAGACGTTCTATGCGGCGGGGCTGTTCTTCGACGTCCTGCGCCAGTTCGGCGAGCTGCCTCCGGACGTGAGGATTCCCTGCACTGCCGCTGTTCGTTGCTAAGGCACTGCTCGCTGCTGTCATGCTGTTCACTGGCTCGCCTGTTCATTGCCTCCTTCCTCCCTTCCTCTCTCCACATTCCCCTTCCAAAGGGCCTCCTCCCCACTCCTTCCCCGTTCCATCCCATCCCATCTTACCCACGCCATCCTCCCCTCCTTCCTGTCTCCTTCCCCTCTCCATCCCTCCTCCATTTGCCCCTACCGCCTCCACACCCCCCCCTCCGAGGGCAGGTGGAGCAGAAGCAGCGGTACGCGGCATGGAAGGCAGCTGACATCCGCAAGGCACTGGCAGAGGGCCGCCAGCCCACGCCTGGCCCGCCCGCTGCCGATGCTGCTGGTGCTGCCGCCCTGCTCTCCGCACCTGCTGCCGCTGCTGCTGCTCCCTCCACAGCCCCGGACAGCACTGGTGGGGCTGGTCATGCGACACAGGGAAGCCTGGTGAGTGCGGCAAGGACAGCAGCATCGGGGGAGAGGTGAGGAGATGGGGGAAAGGACAGGTTGGAAGAGTCTTTCCCATGTGATGCTTCTTCTTTCTTCCTGTCTCTTCAGTGCGCTGCTTGCATATGGTACTGCACCTTCCGTTCACGCGCATTGCGCCCCTTCTTCACATATCACCCTCATCGATACCACCCTTATCACACACTGCCCTCCTTGGTACCACCCCCCCCCCACAACCCCTGCGCATCCCCTTCTCCCACCCACCTATCTCCTCTCCCCCCTTCTCCCCCCTCCCCTCCCCCAGCAGCAGCAGCACGACATCCTGGGTCTGCCAGTGCCGCCCTCAGTGCAGCCTCTCCGCGCCGACCGCAGTGGAGCAGCGCCAGGGGGGAGTGGAGCAGCAGCAGGGGGAGGGGGTGCTGGTGGGGGATGGGCACAGGGAGGCGCGCAGCAGGGGCTAGGGGTGGGGCGACCCCATGGGGGTGGCGCTGGTGAGCTCTCTGCCCCTCTTGGGTCGCCTCACTGCCCTTCTGTGCTGCATGCTCTCACATCTCTCACAAGAGTTTCCCCTCTCCCCATAGTCGGGTTCATACACCCAGATGCCCGCCAAACCGTCCAATCTACTGTACCTTTTCTTCTTGCTCCTAACCCTTCCTGCCTTTCCCCTCCTTCCCCCCTCTCTCTCACTCTGCATGCGCTGACAATTTCGCCCTTCGGGTCTCTTTACTCCCTCCCACCTCCCCTGACCCCATCCACCGCTATGAACTGCACACCACACTCGTTGCAGCAGCAACAACATCATCCCTCGGCCCTGCATGCGCAGGCGCACCAGGAGCAGCAGCTGCTGCCCCGTCCTCCTTCTCAGCCCCCCTGCCTACTGCATCGCAGCCCGCTGCCAAAGCCACCACAGGAGCTGCTGCAAGCACAGCCACAGGCACAAGTGCAGGCTCGGGCACAGGCATGGGAATGGGGGGGCAGGCCCCACCAGCGGGTAAGGTGGGGGACGCCCACCGCGCTGCGCGCTTTGCTGTGAGTGCACTGGCATTTGATGATGTCCCCGCTGCTTTAGACTACCTCAAACAGGCCCTGCGGTTGCTGGACGGGATGTAACAAGGGTTCTGGAACATTACCTATATGTTTAGCGTTTTATATTGCGCCTTGTGTGCACAATGTCCTATTCCTTAGCAACAAGCATTGAGAACGACCGATACGGTATGTTATAGATAAGTAGCCAATGAACTACCGTAAATGATAATAGCGATATTAATCTTAGAGGAACTTTGCAACACATAGAATATTTCTATGGAATTGCACTTGCGAATTTCCATTTGAAAGCAGCACTGGATGTAATATAGAATATTTGTCGTTGTTCTTTATGTAACGAGTGTGAATAGGGGGAATATTTGGTCAGTTATGTTTCTTCCAAGTTATTTGAGATTTGAATGTTGGCGAAACGATGGTATTCCGCCGCCGGAAGTTCGTCAACTGGAGATATTTCGCCAAACGCAAGGAGAGTTACGGCGGCGCGCACCCGCCCAACCACCTGTGACGCCCAGCGATTCGGCGGAGGAGCTGGGCGCAGGTGGAAACGCAAATGGGCGCCACAGTGGGGAACGAATCGCACTCCGGGAAGGTCCACCTGCCACCTGCCTTCCCCACTCCGCTCCGCTTCCCCTCCGCCTGGCGTTTCTGTCTCAGCAGCAGAGTGTGAGCAAGTCACGTGCCACGAGCACCCGCCGTGCACAGCACCCGAGCGGTTCCACTCGAGTTTTGGAGATCTGAATTACGGTACAAGTTCAGTGAGCGAGGCCGTGAATGTGAGAGCAGAGTACTGTACTGTATAATAGGATGCCAGCGTGCATTGAAGGACACTGCTGCTGGCCTAGGATCACTTTCATTTGTCGAGCAGGCCACGTGAGGGATGTTCGATTCTCAACAAAAGCCATAAGATATATCTACATTGCTTTCCGCTAGGCGGTCGTAGTTGTGCAGATAAGAAACTCCGGTTTGTAGTAACCTGTTCGCATTGCGCGTCGATGGAAGCCACGCGATTAGACGCGTTCCTCGCCGTCCTCATGCTCGCCGTCGCGCTGCCCTTCAGCAGCTTTCCCCAACGCTCGTGGGCCGCCAAACCGCCAGACCCAGCGGCTGTGGCGGCGCCGGTAGAGGCGGCGGCGGCGGCGGCGCGGCTGAACTACAGCGAGGCGCTAGAAAAATGCATTTTCTTCTTCCAGCTGCAGCGTTCTGGTAGACTGCCGCGCTCGCAGCTACCCACGTGGCGTGGCGACTCGGGACTCACGGATGGCAAGGCGGAAGGGGTAAGGGGGAGGCATATGGGCTAGGGGGAGGTACAGGCGGAGGTGCAGGTGGAAGGGGGAGAGAAAAAGACCGAGTAATGCGGAAGAAAAGGGCGGAAATGGAACGCTAGTCGACACTCTAGCAGCTCGCCTCAATCCCAGGATAACGCAGAGCAGAGCAGAGCAGTCGAGCACAGAGCGGCGGCAGAGTCAACGTAACACGCCGTCAGCGCAACGGACTCGCGCAGCTCGCGCGCTACCCCAACCCGCGCCCTCACGTGGCCTTTCCTTCCCCCTCCCCCCTCCTCTCTCCCCTCCCCCTCCCCGGCGGTGACGGCGGCGGCAGGTGGACCTGACGCGCGGGTACTACGACTCGGGCGACAACGTCAAGTTCGGCTTCCCGCTCGCCTTCACCGTCACCGCGCTCGCCTGGAGCGTCGTCGAATACGGCGCGCAGCTCACGGCGCTCGGGCAGATCAAGGCGGCGCGCGACGCCGTGCGGTGGGGCGCGCACTTCTTCGTGCACGCGCACCCCAAACCCAACGTGCTCTACGCGCAGGTGCGCGGGTGAGAGAGCATGAGCGCGGGTGAGAGAGCATGTGCGCGGGTGAGAGAGCATGTGCCGCGGGTGAGAGAGCATGTGCGCGGGTGAGGGTGCAGGTGCCCCGACAATGGGCAGACGGGCTGTCCGTCCGTGTAACCGTTGTTACATTCACCATTTCATTCACTGCTGAATGTTCACTCCGTCTCACATTCTGAGCCGCCCTCCAATGCCCTTCCTGTTCCTCGCCTCACCTCGCTACTGGCAAGTGGGCGTCCATGGCCACATGCGTGCATGGCAAGCGCAGGTGGGCGACGGGCAGTCGGATCACAGCTGCTGGCAGCGCCCCGAGGACATGACCACGCGTCTAGTTTTGAGGCGCCTTAAAAGTAAACCTCGCTGAACCGCGCACATTCCTGCGTGGCATTGGCATTGGCAGGTGGGCGACGGGCAGTCGGACCACAGCTGCTGGCAGCGCCCCGAGGACATGACCACGCCGCGCACCGCATACCGCCTCGACCCTCAGCACCCCGGCACCGAGCCCGCTGCCGAGGCGGCGGCAGCACTGGCGGCGTCGAGCATGGTGTTTGGCAAGACAGACGCCAACTACTCCAAGTCGCTGCTCACCCATGCGCGCCAGGTGCGCTGCTCACCCACGCGCGCCAGGTGCGCTGCTCACCCATGCGCGCCAGGTGCGCTGCTCACCCATGCGCACCAGGTGCGCTGCTCTGCTCCCATGCCGCCCATTTTATGCCAGCTCCACGAACGTCGTCACTTGCATCAACCACTGGTCTGCTTCCTCACAATGCAATGCAATCTCCTCTCACTATCCTCCCGAGTCCCGACTCCCCTGCTTCCCCCACCCTCCCCTCCCCCCCTCCTGCCAACCCTCCAACCCGTGGCAACCCTCAGCTGTTCAACTTCGCGCGCAAGTACCCGAAGAAGTACACGGACAGCATCCCCTCCGCCTCCGCCTTCTACAACTCCTACTCCGGCTTTAATGTGCGTCGCCCTCCGCCCTCCCGCACCCTGCTGTGTCCCACCATCACTCTTGTTCTGCCTGTGCCAGCACACATGCCCGCTCTGAGACATGCTGCTGATGTGTCTTGCTCTGTGCATGCTGACGTGTCTTTTTCTGTGTATGCTGATATGTCGTCTTACATGTTTTGCGCCGCCCAGGACGAGTTGCTGTGGGCGGCGGTGTGGCTGTACCGCGCCACGGGGGAGAGGCGATATCTGGACTACATCGTGACGAACGAGAAGCAGCTGGGCGGCACGCAATCGTCAGTGCAGAACTTCTCGTGGGACAACAAGTATGCCGGCGCTCAAGTGCTGCTCGCTAAGGTCAGGGAAGGGCCATGAGAAGGGTGCTTCTGGGGCCGCTTCTGCCTGGCCAATCTTCCACTGCCACCCCATCCCACTCAATGCTCCCATCCCATCCCATCCAATTTCATGCTGGAACAACACTGCCCACTTCCCTCTTCCCCCTTACTCCCTTCAACCGAATCCTCCCATTCCTCCCCTTCCTCCCTCTCCCCCCTCTCAGGAGTACCTACGGCGGCAGGACCCGGCACTGGAGCTGTATCTGAAGCGCGCCAAGGACTTTGTGTGCGGCACCGTGGTGCGCGGCATCAGATCACCAGGTGCGTGCCGGGGCATCAGATCACCAGGTGCGTGCCGGGGCATCAGATCACCAGGTGCGTGCCGTGGCATCAGATCACCAGGTGCGTGCCGTGGCATCAGATCACCAGGTGTGTGCCGTGGCATCAGATCACCAGGTGCGTGCCATGGCATCAGATCACCAGGTGTGTGCCGTGGCATCAGATCACCAGGTGCGTGCCGTGGCATCAGATCACCAGGTGCGTGCCGTGCCACCACCCACGCCCTCAGAGAACCGACTATGATCAAATCGCAACCTCCATGGAGATCAGATATCCAAGCTCCCACTTGCAATCAAATCTCTTGTGCTGCAACTCATGTGATGTTTCTTCCCTCTGCACGGTGTGCCCTGTGCCACTCACCGAATGCAGGAGGCATGCTGTTCCTCATGTCGTGGAGCAACCTGCAGTACGTCACGGCCATCAGCATGGTGCTCTCCACCTTTGCTGACATCCTTGATGCCGCCCCTGCCAGCGCCGGCAACGCCACGGCCATCATGTGCGACTCCACGCCCGTCACCACCACCGCCATGCGCCGCTTCGTCAAACGCCAGGTGCGCGCCGTCCCCCATGCTGCATTGCCATACGTGTGGCTGGAGTATCTACACTTGACAGCATCGTCCCTTGCTGCTCTCAACCTGTTCCTCTCCAACTGCTCCTCCTGTGCTACTGTTCCCTAAGCCCACTCCGTGCATGTGACTGCACCCCCAACCCCTATTCTTCACCCCTCTCCATGTTCTCTCTCCCTCCACTCCCCCCTTTCCCCCCTCCTCCGTGCACACCCAAGGCCAGGTGGACTACATATTGGGCGTGAACCCCAAGAAGCTGAGCTACATGGTGGGCTTCTCCTCCTCGTACCCTCAGCGCGTGCACCACCGCGGTGCATCCCTGCCGTCCATCTGGGTGAACAACACGCGCATGGGCTGCAACGACGGCTGGCCCGCCTTCAAGTCCAAGGTGCACCCCATCCCTCATCTCCCCATCACACCACACCACTCCCAGTGCCCAGGCAGCACCGCACCCATTGCCAGTGCCCTTGGTTCCACAGCAGGCTCAACCGCCCACCACACCTCCCAGTACCCAACTGACCAGCTGCCAGCCCCAGCGCCACATCAGTCCCCTGCTCCCTGCTGCTGCATCGCTGCACTCTCCACTGCTATGCTTCTAACCCTCACTCCCCACTGCGCCCCTCTTAACGCCCCACAGGCCCCGAACGTGAATGTGCTGACGGGGGCGGTGATAGGCGGGCCGGACAGCAGCGATGCGTTCCGGGACGAGAGGGACAACTACCAGCAGGTGGAGCCCTCCACCTCCATCAACGCCCCCTTCGTTGGTGTCCTCGCCCGCGTTGCTGGAGGCCCCCCCAAGGCTAGCCCTCCACCTGCCTCCCCCAAGGCCCCCCCTCCTCCCCTCAAGGCACCACCACCTCCTGCTGGCAAGCGCAAGTGACCGACAGTCTTCACTGATGGATTTAGTGGATGGCATCTGAGGAATAAAAGTTCCTCGTATTTAACGTGGGAGGCAATAAAATCTGTCCACTAATGAGGACAGGACCATACTTGGATTGTATATATGATGTAAGCTATAGTAAAGGGGCAAGCGATACTGATACCAGTAGTTGGAAGGTTGCAACAGGATTGAAACAACTGATTGGGAGACCGGTGTTGTTGGGGATAGCGCTAAGAACGCGGAACACCATAACACTGAGAGAAACATTTGTTGTACCAGCCAATAATATGTACTGCGTCGAAGTGTGCAGCTTGGCAAAAAAAACATATGTTGCTTGCATGCTGGATCGTGTTTTACCCCGCATAAAAGCCTCTGTATGTGAAACCGAATTGGTGAATCTTTCTTGAGCATCACAAAAACGAGGGTGGGGCCGAATTTCCTAGTTACCAGTATCGAGTCATCCAAAGCGAAAGACTGCGAGAGGTTTTAGTGCTTGCGAGGAACACCATTCCCGCTTCCTGTTGCGCGATTTCCGCGCTGCCGATCTGCTGGAGCACACGCCGTCTCGCTTCGCCGCTTCCCACATTGTGTCCCCTTGGGCGTTGGGCGCCGGCACTAGCAGCGTGCCCCAGAGAGAGAGCTCAAGTCGTCCTCTTCGTGCCGCTTGCTCTTCTAACACCTACCTAGTCAGGCCATCAGTAGTGCGTTGCTAGACGCTCTGCGGCTACCGCTGGACGCGCGTGCGCAGGTCGTTCAGAAAGGCGCGCGCGCGCGGTGGTGGTGCACGGGGATGGGGAAGAAGGGGAAGGGGAAGCCGGGGAAGGGGAAGGAGAAGACGGAGCGGAAGACGGCGAAGGCGGAGGCGAAGAAGCAGCGGCGCGAGGAGAAGAAGGTGGACGAGGAGGACGACGTCGACGCCATCCTGGTGCGCGCTGGGAGGGGGGTGCTGGGGAGCAGGGGCATGGGGGGAAGGGGGTGAAAAAGGAGGCGATGAGGGGTAAGGGAGGCAATGAGGAAGTGCATGAGGCGAATGGCGCGTTGAGGCGCGTCGAGGGAGACGCAGCACCCCGTGCCGACTTGCGACTGGCGACTGGCGAATGTGGGCGAGTGGCATGGCAGCATGGGAGTGGCAGGGAGGGGCGTGGAGAGGGGCGGTGAGGCAGCCGACTGCGGATGGATCTCGGTGGGAGATGGACACAGCTCGTCTCAACGCCAGGGGTGGGAGCGGCGCACATGTGTGATCTGAAATTTCTCTCCACATGCACCACAGGGAGGCCTCCGCTCTCCCTGCTGTCTCTCTGGCATGTGGTTACGCATGGCATGTGTGGCATGTGGGATATGCATGTCATGCGTGGCATGTAGGGCATGTGGGGCATGTGGGGCATGTGGGGCATGTGGGGCATGGGGGGCATGTGGGGCATGCATGGCGTACAGGCGAAGATAGCAGCGGAGGAGGCGAAGAAGAAGGAGGTGCATGTGGAGGAGGGCGTGCCGCCGCCCTCCCCTCGCTGCAACGCCACCGTGAGTCGCGCCCCAACCCTCCCTTCCCCTTCCCCTAACAGCAGCGCGGTGGTACTTTGTAAGATGCCCCATCCATGAGCACTCGATCCATTGCCTCTCCTTCGCTCCCCTCCTCTCCCGCTTCCTATCCCTCGACCCCCTCGCCCCCGGCTGCTTCCCCGTGCCTCATTCATTCTGTGGCCCCTCTCATCTCTCTCGCCCGCTCAACCACTCGCCCGCGTGGCAGATGGTGGTGAACCCACTCAAGGACACGGAGCTCATCATCTTCGGTGGGGAGTTCTACAATGGGGATAAGGTGCGCCTTGGGGTCAAACCTGGGGGATGGGCTACTGGCGCCCACCATTATTGAAGCTATGTGCATCATTGGGTTCACTCATAGGGTGGCCTTCCTTTGCTGCGTTCCTCCGAAGCTTCTCCTACCCTTGCCTATTGCTGGTGTTCTCAACCTTGCCTCATCGGCCCAACTTCCCAACATTTCTCCCCCTTCTTCCACCCCCCACCAGACGTACGTGTACGGCGATCTGTACCGTTTCAACGCGGACAAGGCCACGTGGCGCCTGGTCAGCAGCCCCAACAGCCCGCCGCCTCGCAGCGGGCACCATGCCGTCGCCTGGAAGAACTTCCTCTTCGTCTTCGGTGCGTGCCCTGCGCCACGTGGCCTGGCCACACGAATCTGTTCGTGTTCGCTGACAGTTAACCATGCTGCATGGACTTCGTATGTCGTGTCTCACGCAGTGTGTGCTGTGTGTGCTGTGCGACATGTGTGGTAACAGGTGGCGAGTTCACGTCGCCCAATCAGGAGAGGTTCCACCACTTCAAGGTGCGCCCTGCTGCTGTGCTGTTCCACGTGCATGCATCCTAGTACTCAATTCACGACACACCAGTGATGCATCTCGTCTTGTGCCTTGCCAGAGTCAACATATTTGCCACTCCACGTCCCTGCTCTGTGTGCCCTGCTGTGTGCCCTGCTGTGCGTCCTGCTGTGTGTGCCACCCATGACCACAGGACCTATGGCGGTTGGATCTGAACAGCAACGAGTGGGAGCAGCTGAACCTCAAGGGCGCCCCCTCGCCCCGCTCCGGCCACCGCATGGTGAGGCGCTACCTTCCCTGTCGAATTGAAGGCAGCACTTTTCATGCACCAAAGGGCTTGCATCTTATCCAGATCTCCAATACTTGCAGCCAACTTTTCTCTCATGTTGGAGCATCTGGAACAAAGAATCTCCCGTTTCATTTAAGCCCTACACTTGACTTATCCAACTGAACCCCCATCCCATTCCCCTATCTCGTTGCGTTGGAGGGCAGGTGCTGTACAAGCAGAAAATACTGCTGTTTGGAGGGTTCTATGACAACCTTAGGGATGTGCGGTGAGTCCCGGGCAACCTCAGCAAGGTGTGCTGTGATGAGATGAGATGCAAAGTCGGGGGTTATTAGGCGAGGACACGCCCACACTCACTCTCGCGCTGCTTTAGCGTTATGTGGCTGAGGCCATGGCACAAGGAGCAGCACTTAATCCGAGCACCTTCCAAGACCCGAGAAGCACCACTGCCTTCACTGCCTTGAGCTCACCCCATCACCCCGCATCCACAGTTGCCACTGTTCACGAGCCCAGCGCTGCAAAGCGGTCCGTTGTGCATGCGTGCATGCGTGCGGCACTGGAAGCAGCCATTTGCCTCACGCGCCTTGCCTCTTGTGTCGTTCTCCTTCCCCCCTCCACCTCCCCATGCCACCCCCTCTGCAGCTACTTCAACGACCTCCATGTGTTGGACCTCAACGACATGAAGGCACGTGCCCTCGCACCCTTGGCCCCTGCTGCTCCTTCAACTCGTGTAGCCATTGCTTGCTGTGAGAGGGCCACTGCACTGCTTGCACCATTCAAGTCACTCTGATAACACCAGGTGCTCTCTCTGTCCTAGTCTCTCCACCCTACTAGCATCCACCCACACTGCTCCACTCTCTTTGCTTCGCATCCGTGACTCAAGCTTGTTAGTTGAGGCTGATCACTGTGCCTGATTTCACCCCCCTCCATGCCGCCACCGTCTCTCCCCTCCTTGTCCTCCCACCTCCATGGGCCATGCGCCTGTCGCAGTGGTCCCAAGTGAAGCCCAAGCCGGGGGCAGCATGGCCGTCCCCCCGCAGTGCCTTCCAGTTCGCCGCCCACCAGGACGAGGTCAGCCGCCCCCTGCCTGCCATGCAATGCACTGCGCCTGCTCTGCTGTGCACACAGAGCTCACAGGGCACTCATCATGCCTGCGCACACATTCACGGGCTCATTGACTCACATGCACGTGCAACGACGGAAGATCATCATGCGTGTGCCGTGCATGTCACATCACAGGTGTATGTGTACGGGGGCTACTTCAAGGATCACGCCAGGGACGCGGATGGCAAGGACAAGGGCGTCGTGCTCTCCGACCTCTGGCTGCTCAACCCGCGCTCCTACGAGTGGAACAAGGTGCGTTGCTTCTACGAGTGGAACAAGGTGCGTTGCTCCTACGAGTGGAACAAGGTGCGTTGCTTCTACGAGTGGAACAAGGTGCGTTGCTTCTACGAGTGGAACAAGGTGCGTTGCTCCTACGAGTGGAACAAGGTGCGTTGCTCCTTGGAGTGGAACAAGGTGCGTTGCTCCTTGGAGTGGAACAAGGTGCGTTGGTCCTTGGAGTGGAACAAGGTGCGTTGCTCCTTCGAGTGGAGCAAGGTCCGTTGTTCCAAAATTCTCTTCAGAGAAAAGAGCCGGTTGTGAGAATTTTGAGGGAAAACTTATTGCTCTCAAGAATCTTTCCTACGACGCTCTCATTCACCTCACCTCACCTCACCTCACCTCCCCTCACCTCACCTCACCTCACCTCACCTCACCTCCCCTCACCTCACCTCACCTCACCCACCTGCCTGCGTGCGTGCAGGTGAAGCGGCTGGGGTCGCCACCGAGTGCGAGGGCGGGCTTCTCCCTGGCGGTGCACCGCAGCCGCGCCATCCTCTTCGGGGGAGTCGTGGACCGCGAGGAGAAAGGTCAGCTCGCCCCTTCTTCCTTGCCATTCCCCCCGCCCTTGCCATTCTCCCCACGCCCTTGCCATTCCCCCCCCGCCATTGCCATTCTCTCCCCGCCCTTGCCATTCCCCCCCGCCCTTGCCATTCCCTCCCCGCCCTTGCCATTCCCCCCCCGCCCTTGCCATTCCCCCCACGCCCTTGCCATTCCCCCTCCTCCCTTGCCATTCCCCCCCCGCCCTTGCCATTCCCCCTACGCCCTTGCCATTCCCCCTCCGCCCTTGCCATTTCCCCCCCGCCCTTGCCATTCCCCCCGCCCTTGCCATTCTCCCCACGCCCTTGCCATTCCCCCCCCGCCCTTGCCATTCTCTTCCCGCCCTTGCCATTTCCCCCCCGCCCTTGCCATTCCCCCCCCGCCCTTGCCATTCGGAATGGCCCATTCCCCCCCCCCCCCCGCCCTTGCCATCCCCCCCGCCCGCCCTTGCCTTCCCCCCCCCGCCTTGCCATCTCCCCCCCGCCCTTGCCATCTCCCCCCCCCCGCAATCTCCCCTCTGCTCACTCTCATCTGACCACCTGCCCGCTGCTCACGTCTCCTCTGCGAAACCTCCCATGACACCACTTCTCGTTGCTCTTACACCTGCTGCCCCTCCTCCTCCGGTCCTCCCCCTGCCCCTGCCACCATGGTGCAGGCGGCGATGTGTTGCGCAGCACGTTTCTGGACGACATGTTTGCCTTCCAGATGGACTCGCGCCGCTGGTTCCCCCTCCTCCTGCGCTCGCAGCAACAGGCCCTGGCGGCTGCCAGGAAGGCGGAGGTGAGCCAGCAGAGACCACTTGTATTTGCCCCCCTCCACCTCATTTGCCCCTGTCGACACCTCTTTCCACTTTTCACCCCTCGTTCCCTTCTCCACTCGTCGTTTCCCTTCTCCACTCGTCATTGCCCCTCCCTACCCCTCTTTGCCCCTCCAACCCCTGTCGCCCAGCCAAATGCAGGCAGTGCAGCAACGAGCGGCACACAGGCGGATGGGGAGGAGGGGGAGGGTGAGAGTGACGAGGAAACGGAGGGGAGGAAGAGCAGGCAGGCAGGCAATGCTGGTGAGAGCGAGGAGGAGGAGGAGGAGGTGACTGGGCGAAGAAAACAGAGACTGAAGCGGAAGGAGAGGAAGGGGGCCAAGTCAAAAGCAGCAGCAGCTGCAGCAGCAGCGGCAGGGGCACAGGTGGAGTATGATGGAGGCGAGGAGGAGTGGGATGGGTGGGAGGAGGAGGAGGAAGCGGAGGAGGCGGCAGGGGGTGGCAGTGGGGGCGGCACAGATGCAGTTGCCGCTTCCGAAGGCGGTGCAGCGCCAGGTTTGGAGGAGGCGACGGGCTGCAGGGATTGTGAGATGGGTGAGAGGGGTGAGATGGATGCGAGCAGGCAGGGGCCCAGAGAGGCAGACGGGCGGGGCAGTGACAACGAGCAGGCAGCAGCAGGGAGCCCGAGGGAAGCGAGTGGTGGTGAGGTGCAGGGCGGCTTGCAGAGGCTGAGCCTTGAGGAAGGCAGTGTGGGCGAGGACATGCAGAGGAGTGCTGAGGGCAGCGAGGGGAAAGGGGGTGATGACGCAGAGGGGGATAAGACAGGGGTAGGCAGCGAGGCAGCAGGGGAAGGAAAGGAGAGGAAGGAGGGGGAGAGGAAGGAGGGGGAGAGGGAGGGGGGTGGGACGGGGGAGCGAGGGGAGGCGCCGTGCAGCCGCATGAATGCGGGGCTGGCAGTGGGCGGCAACACGCTGTACCTGTGGGGCGGCGCCAAGGAGGTGGGCGACCGCGAGGTGACTCTGGACGACCTCTTCAGCCTCAACCTCTCCAAACTCGACCACTGGACGTGCCTTCACAAGGCGAGTGCCCGCAGCACCCCAAGCTGTGAGGGCAGTATTCTGATCGTTTCCCTAGAGTTGCTGCTGCCTGCCGCAATACTCGTGCCACTCTCACTGCAATACTCGTGCCACTCTCACTGCAATACTCGTGCCACTCTCACTGCAATACTCGTGCCACTCTCACTGCAATACTCGTGCCACTCTCACTGCAATACTCGCGCCACTCTCACTGCAATACTCGTGCCACTCTCACTGCAATACTCGTGCCACTCTCACTGCAATACTCGTGCCACTCTCACTGCAATACTCGTGCCACTCTCACTGCAATACTCGTGCCACTCTCACTGCAATACTCGTGCCACTCTCACTGCAATACTCGTGCCACTCTCACTGCAATACTCGTGCCACTCTCACTGCAATACTCGTGCCACTCTCACTGCAATACTCGTGCCACTCTCACTGCAATACTCGTGCCACTCTCACTGCAATACTCGTGCCACTCTCACTGCAATACTCGTGCCACTCTCACTGCAATACTCGTGCCACTCTCACTGCAACCTGCGTTGCGACAAGGCTGTGAGGGTAAGGGAACATGCACAGCTGGTGCTCGTGATCATACTGCCTTGCTCACTTTTCATGTGATTCATGCTCTTTGGGCCTGTCCTGCATGCTGCTTGCTGCACGCCGTGTCACAATTACCGCCTGCATGTGTGTGTTAACATCAAGTGCAGGGGTCAGAGAGCACATGGGTGGAGGTGGCAGAGGAGGAGGAGGACGATGAGGAGGAGAGCGGTGATGAGGAGAGTGGGGAGGAAGAGGAGGACGAGGATGAGTCGAGCGACGATGAGACTTCAACCAAGGTGTGCCCTCCTCATTTGTCTGCTGAATGCTGCCAAGGTATGACCGTCCCTAGAACTCATGGCTGGAGTTTCAGCCAAATGCACGTCCAGCTTCCTTCTGTTGGTCGCACTTTACCAAGTCTGCATGCGCCGACTTCCCCACCATCCAACCGCCAGGCCACGGGCGGCGCCGCCACGGCGTCGGAGCTGGCAGCGGCGCTTCTGAGGGGCGAGGCTCCTGCGGGCGGCAAGCGCCAGCTGTCGCGCAAGGAGAGGCGGGCGGAGATTGACCGGATTCGCGCGGATCTGGGGCTTGCAGACACGGCGAGGACGCCCATTGTGAGTCGCGAGTCACAGGACTCCGTGTATGCACCTTGCACCACCTCCATTCTGTGTTGCCGGACATTTGTCTTGTCACTGAGTTGAGTTACCAAGTGC